CACAGCCCAGTGCTGCCAAGAGACCCTGCCATAACAACCGGTGTGCACAGCCCAGGGCTGCCAAGAGACCCTGCCACAACAACCGGCGCGCACAGCCCAGGGCTGCCAAGAGACCCTGCCACAACAACCGGCGCGCACAGCCCAGGGCTGCCAAGAGACCCTGCCATAACAACCGGCGCGCACAGCCCAGGGCTGCCAAGAGACCCTGCCATAACAACCGGCGCGCACAGCCCAGGGCTGCCCCTCTACCCTGCCATAACAACCGGCGCGCACAGCCCAGGGCTGCCAAGCGAACCTGCCACAACAACCGGCGCGCCCAAGAGACCCTGCCACAACAACCGGCGCGCACAGCCCAGGGCTGCCAAGAGACCCTGCCACAACAACCGGCGCGCAGAGCCCAGGGCTGCCAAGAGACCCTGCCACAACAACCGGCGCGCACAGCCCAGGGCTGCCAAGAGACCCTGCCACAACAACCGGCGCGCACAGCCCAGGGCTGCCAAGAGACCCTGCCATAACAACCGGCGCACGAAGCTCTGGGATCTACCTGTGATAGCGACCCAACCTGTTCCACTCAGGGAGCAAGCTGGTGTTACAGTCTCCCACCAGAGGGGCTGGTTAGCCCCCAAGACAGTAGAGAGCCCCCCTAAAAACCAGAGCTGGACTGAGGGAGACCCCAGCCAAGAGCCTTTCAAGGTTGTCCCAGCTGCTGAGTCCCCCCTGGGATCTGTGGGGGGGAAGGGAGGGCCAGGAGACAGAGCCGAGCTGTGGCTTTAAGAGCTGCCTGGGAGGGGAAGAGGAAGGGGCAGAGAGAGGAAAGTACTTTTATGGGCTGCTCCCAGGAGAGTGGGTTTAATAGGGGGCTTGTGCTCAGCAAATTGCTGGGAGGGGTTTGTTAGCAAAGCACCTCGGCCCCCCGGCCCCTGTCACTTTGGTTTATGGGAGCCCCTTGTGGGCGCGGGGGGCCGTGCGGTGACATTCCTGGCCCCCGGTTGGTGTCATGACCCCGATCTGTTAGTGGAGGCCTCGGTTCACAGCAAATGGCCCCACGCTGCAGCTGGGTGCTATTAAACCTGACCGGTGCATGGGGGGGGCCACTGGGCGAGGACGGGGGAGAAATTCCCTGCTCAATTCAACCCAGATGTTTCCCCAAAAGGGAGGGTCAGAGCCAGCGGCACTTTTGGGGGATGGGTGTGCACAGGGTGTTATGTGTATGGCAAGGAAGAGGTCAGAGGGCATCATCCCCTCCTTGCAACCCACCCCAATTTCTGCCCCCCCTTCCCAGCCCCCCATCCCACTGGGCGAGGACGGGGGAGAAATTCCCTGCTCAATTCAACCCAGATGTTTCCCCAAAAGGGAGGGTCAGAGCCAGCGGCACTTTTGGGGGATGGGTGTGCACAGGGTGTTATGTGTATGGCAAGGAAGAGGTCAGAGGGCATCATCCCCTCCTTGCAACCCACCCCAATTTCTGCCCCCCCTTCCCAGCCCCCCATCCCC